GATCTGAAAGGAAATTCAACCAAAGGTCTTAGCAGCAGAACTAAAATAAGCAGATTTTTATACTGGAAAAAAAGGAAGAACAAGGAAGAAAACAAGACCTTGAATTCACTTCTGTCTTCTTGGTTACTGCAGGAGATGTTCCAGTCTAAACCTTCAAGAGGAAATCAATACCATTTCATTAAGAGGAAACATCTAATTTGAATAAAGGTAACACAGTTTCCTAAATTCTATGTATATGCCAGAGAGACAAGAAGAAAACTTACTGTGTAATGTGGGCTGGGAACGTTGAGTTTATATGGAACACTTGCCCAGCCCAGAATGAAATAGGTGTGATGGTCCTTCAGAGCTGGTAAGCCATCAGATCATCTGGGAGCTAGCAGTCTTCCTGGCTAGTGGGCATGCCAAGGGATCAGTCTTCAGTAGTTCAAATGGCATGTTCCTCAGCTTTACTAAGATGCAGCTGAGGTCCCAAATACAGCAAGCTTCTCTACTACCAGAGAAAGAGAGGATGTACTTGCTGCTGCAGCAGGCTGACAAGTAGAAAGCAGCTAAACCCTTGCCAGCCAGCAGACGAAGACAGAGGCCAAGGAAAACTCAGATGAGAAGCCTTTCTGGTCCAAAGTAATCCTTTATGTGTCTTATATTTTTGCCTGGGAGTTCTGAACATTACTACACACAATTGGATCAGCAGAAGTTGCTGAGTTACTGCCCAGCTCTCCAGCTGGGAACTCCAGACTGGCGTGGAGAGGGTGCCTTGTGAAAGCACAGGCAGACCTGGTACCTGGCATGTCCTCAACAGGTCTGTGTGTCTGCAGGCCATATGCTGGCTGCCTGGGAGTAAAGAAGCACTTGCCCTGTCTCAGCACAGATTCAGAAAGTCATGGAAGAAAGCCTGCCCAGCAAGTTCCTCTCTACCTGCTTGGTCAGTCCAGCCTTACTTTGCTGGGAGAACTCCAATACTTGTATGTGTTTACACATGCACATATGGTACATACATGAACTGGGATTTTTGCTAACCAGCCTCTCTACACTGAAGCCTGGACAGTCAGCCTGCAGGTCTGTTCAGCTCCTTCCTGCCCACAGTACCAGAAGTGGCTAGGAATGAAGGGCTATAGACAAGACAGCATGTAGTGACTCCTCTCTCAGCAGCCCCCCACACACTGGTGACCTGCATCTAAGAAGTGCTCTGAACATGATGTGTCTCTTCCATATTCTCCAGTCTCCCCTTGAACTCAGTTAAGCTCCCAATGTGCCCATGTACCACGGTGAGGAGTTTCACTCTGCATGGAAAACAAAGTCACTTCTTTTGGAAGCTGCCTCTGTGAGAACTCTCCTACTCCTGCACTGGAACAGCTGTTGAACTGCAGGTCCCCATCACTCCAACCACTATCACAGACATCTTCCCCAGACCATCCATTTCTACCTTTTCCACACCATCCCAAGTGGTGATGGCCAGATCAGAGCCTGCCTTTTCCTACACGAACCAGGGGCTGCTTTCCCTTGCCATTTTCATTTATTCACACTGAGCATCACCCACTGCTCTCCTGTCTGCTCAGCAGCACAGGGCCCCTCTGGCTCTCCCCACCTTTGGCTTCAGGTTCACTGCAACACGTTACCAACAGGAACTTGCTTCACACTCTTCTTCTCCTGGCTATGACCACACAGATCAGCACAGGCTCCCAGACAGACTGCTCCAGGGTTCCACTATTGATCTTTCCAACTATGGATGCCAACTGCATACTTTTAACACCCTAATTCTATCTTTTAAATCACATTTTCTTACTGTGGATAGAAGTATGGTTGAAAGCCAAGAAAGAGAGGATGGGAATATGTAAGTTTTCACAAGGGGGGGAAGTTGGGCTGTCAGCTGCAGAGACCAGAAAAACATCTGCTCTGAGCAGAACCCCAGCAGGTATCCCCAGCACACTAATGAACTGTAGGCTTGATGACAGACTGAGAAAACAGCAAGAACAAAGTTGCTGAGCGCAGAGATGTGTTTCCACACAGGAAGGCTGCCATGCTGAGGAATGAAGCTCACACACTGGGCTGCATTAGGGCAGGCTGCACAGCCCAGCACCATGCTGCAGTATTTGGCGTGTTGCTGCCCAAAGCACTGAGCTCTTTTCCTTAGTCCCTACCAGAGCTCACAGGAGACGGCCGAGGTCTGCAGCAGGGGACGCTCAGCTTTTGCTTTGGAGCTGTCTGCTCCGTTCCAGAATCTCTTCCCTTGAAGCAATTTTGCTTCTCTTTAGGATTGGTTGCTAGGAAACCAAGGATTGTCCTAATTATATATGAAAAACAACTGCCATCTTCAAATTACCTACTTGACAGAAAGGGCCATATCAAGAAAAAACAGACTGTGTCAGAAAAATCCTCATTTTCCAGGCTCTGAAAACACTTGATCCTGTTGCTTCACCACATGAGAAGCTACACTGTCTCTGCCCCTTCCACCTATGGGTCTGAATGGAAAGGAGGTCCATGCATCACACCACACAGGTCAGCAAGCCACATGCACCAAGCAGGTTTTACGGTGCAAGATAAACATCACCAGCCAGCCCAAGCTAACTGCCCCTCTCAGCAAGGGCCCCTTCAGAGAGGAACCTTTCCACTTGTCTTAGAAGCACTGGGACCTCAGCGTGCCCAATTTCCTGTCTGTGCCAGAGGCTGAAATACCACGGAAACAGCAGCAAGCTTTGATTTACAACATCTAGATCCAATGCCGCAATCGCCTACCTCTCCCCACCAGAGACAAGACATGCTGCCAAGGTCTGCACAGGTAGAACAGATGCCATGCAGTGCAGCCACACAGAAGCTCAGTTTCTACCCTATCTTAACTTGGTCTCCTTAGAAACACCACAATCCCACAAGCACTCACTTCCCCAAAATTTCCCCAGCAGGTTCACTCTGTGTGTGACCAGCTGCAGCACCTCCTTAATCTTCTTTCCTCCCACACTCTTGCTGTTCACTTTGGTTGCTCCGTTAAGAGCAGACCTTGCAGCAGCCCACCAGGACCTGCACTGGGCAGCGTGTCACAGGGCATCACACTAATGAGAGCTCGGCATCCAACCTGAAGGGAGTTTAAGGACTTACCCTGGGGGCTAAAGGAAGGAGGCAAGGAACACTTGCCCAAGATGGAAAGAGCACTTCCAGCCACATGAAGAGCACTGGCTCTGTGTGGAAAGGCTGCTCCTAAGGCTCCAAAACTGCCGGGTGCAACACCCCACACAGCTTGCTGCAGCAGCTCCAGAGATCTAAGGGATGCAGTGAGGGAAACGCTTTCCTTTTTTAGAAGCAAAGCATACTTTGCATTCCAAAGCAGACAGTGGTCCCTGCTCAGCTACAAGAGCACAGGACGGAGGCAGCTGCAGCGTGCAGTACCGTAAAGACACTCCAAGTCCTCCTGCCCTGAGATCAGCCAGCTCCTGAAGAGGCGCAGGTGGTAGGAGCACTGCTGGAGGTGGTGAGCTAGAGTGGCATCCAGGGAGATGTTCCGGCTGGTGGCATAGTCAGAGGAAAAACGGCGCAGCAACTGGGCAACGTGGTGGTGCTCAAGCACATCTGGAGGAAAGGGGCCACAGAGTGAGGAGAGGGGCAGGTGCAGGCGGGGAGACACGGGGACGGAGCTGCCAGCACCAGCCGGGCCGGGTAAAGACCCCCAGCACACGCTGGAGCCAGCCCCCCTGCAGGCAGCAGGCCAGCAGCACCCCCAGCTCTGCACCCCCAGCTCCTGCCGGGCCCAGGCTCTGCCACACGGCTGTGGCACAGGGCAGCCCTCAGCAGCAGCTTTCATCCTGCTCAGCAAAACCCTGCCAAGCACATGAACTTTAGGACACGCTCCTAGTGGCTCGGGCTGGGCTGGGTGAGAAGGTCGGGCCAGTGCTCGCCTTCCTCCAGCCCAGCCCAGGAGTCCAGACTGCCCACAGAGTGCCTGAGTCCTGCAGCCACGTGCAGGCACCTCAGCACAGGGAGGGGAGCAGATGGCCCAGCACACAGCCAGGGCTGCAGCAGGGTCTGGCTGAAGGCAGAGGTCAGAGTGTAGAAGAACAGAGGGACACAGAAGCGCTGACCTGCCTTCCCTAGACTCTCAGAACAGCCCTGTGCGACCTTCTGCGATCCCTCTCACGGCAGACAAGATGCTAACACGCAGGCATGTCTTCTCCTCCACATACACAGCCTCAGGACTCAGGTCATGCTTCCAAGTCCCATAAGACCAGGCCATAAGCCATCTGGCCTGATGCTATGCTTTGGCAACTGCTCTGGTTCACCCATCCCATCCCACCACACAGAGGCAGCTCTTCAGAAACAAAATCCAGATTCAGAGCTGTGAATAGATTTGCATCCTTAGGTGAGTGGTCCATGTGGCTAAACATCCTTCCTGCTAAAACCAGTGCCAAGCCTAGACCAAATATACCTAACTTGAAGCTCATACCTGCTGGATCTCTGTCTTTATTTTCCTGAATATGAAGCATTTTGCCATTAGAAATATTCATTGGGCTTTTGGGAAAAACCCGACGCCCAGTTTCGCTTTACTGTGTTTGGGGCAGAGACAATTGCCTTACTGTGTGGCTTAGGAAAGACTGGTGCTTGGTACAAGCTTGACTGTCAAGATAGAACAACACATCCTGCTGACATATACCACGTGAGCTCAGATGGCATCCAGACATACAGACAAATTGAGCAGTTGGCCACTCCAGGAAAAACAAAACCAAGCGAACACAGAAAATCAGCTCTCTTCCATCACTTGAAATTATAAAGCCACATTTAGCTGCCCCTTCCCTTTTCATCTTTCCCAAAACTTTGGTCTTCGTAGCAGTCTTCTGAGCTTCTTTCACCTTCCAGATCACGCAGAACAGAATATCTTCACAGTTAATAAGCAACAAGATGGCAGAAGCAGCCTTGATCACCTCAGACAGAAACAACCGGTATCTTTCAGTCATCTTCTTTGCTTCTAACTTGTCTCAACATCAGGAGCCACAAGGTAGGAGTGGTGCTGTGAAACAAACCTTTTCAGAAGTTTCTGTGCAAGGCCTGGACAGTAAACACTAGTTCAAGGCATCTGCTGCAACAGAACTAATGGCCCTTAACCTCAAAGACTGACAGCTGAGGTGTCAGGTTAGCAGCAACACGAAGCAGAGGTAGTGAGCCAACAGAAGCACTGTCAGACGCCCTTTGCCAAGCTCTTTCGAAGCTACAAGCAGCACAGGAGTGAAGCAGGTTACATCCCCCTGGGTGATGAGGTGCCAGACCCCTACCTCAGGAAGGCAGCAGTCCCGAGCCAGCACTGCCCACCAACAGCACATCAGTGAAAGCTCTGGAGAGACACCAGTCCCAGGATAGTGTCTGCAAGGAAGGTAACCCTACTCCCACCAACATCACCACGCCTGGAGTAACCAAGGGACAACCCTAACAGACAAGTCTGCACACAGGAGGCCCTGAGGTTCCCGGTGCTCCTGTGATGGCTGGGCAGCAGTACCACGGGCAGAGGGAAGGCTGGCAGCCCGTGCTCTGCCAGCTGACACATGGGCAGTCTCAGGCTAGCCTGGGATTTGTCCTGCAAATCTGCATCACAGAAACCGAGGGCCTAAGCTGCGGATATTCTCAGGATATGGAGTGGATATAGGCACCCCAACACCCGACCCAAAGGTGTTCTCTCCCCGACACCCACCCCTCAAAAGGGAGCATGAAAAAGGGTCTTATCATCAGCAGTGCAGTTAGAGGTTGCTTTAGGAGCCCAGTCCCAGAGCCTCTGCTCTTGCTTTTTCACCTGGTACACAAATGCCTTGGGGGACAGCAGAGGAACCACTGAGCAGTAACAGAGGATGGATGAACGTTAGTCACAAGGAGACAACGGGGGAAGGTGAAGCATATTTGCACACCAGATACACAGACACAAGAAAACACAAGAAGGCTGAGAGGAGAGTATGTGCAGAGAGAACTGAAGGTGAGCATGGGGTTAGAAGTGTGAGGGAACGTGGAACCGAGGAAGCAAACGTACCATTAGTCGGATGCTTTGCAAACGACACAGAAAATCGTTTTACGGCTGGCATAGACAAGAGCTCTGAGGAAATAAAAACAGATCATCTCAGTTAACAGCCTCTTCTAAAGATCCCCCGACCTTCATATGCCTGCAACTACCCTTTCAGGATCGCCCTCTTCTTGGCCCCCAGAACACACGCTCCCGCTGGCACCGCTGTGGCACCCCGGGCACCCTACCTGCAGGGCTGATGGAGCCTCGGGGCTGCCTCGTGCCCTGACAGCTCCCCACGTCCCCTGCTGGCACCCCAGTGCTGCAAAGCCCTCAGCCACACCTTCTCAGTCACAGACAGCACCTCGTGCCTTCCCCCGACACCTGCAGCATCCTGGGGGTGCCCCAGGCTCAGTGCCGTGCGGGGTGCGGCTCGGCCATGCCCACAGCCACAGGAGCACACAGCCAAGCAGGCAGCAGCACCACAGCAGGACAGGCTCAGGAGTCACCTCTGCCCCAGGAAAAAGCTGACTGTCCTGCAGAGGAGCTGAGGTGCTCTGGCCTAGGTACGTGCAGCTCAGAACATCCTCCTCATGCAAGCTAAACGGAGCTGCCTAGGAGCTTAGGCAACTCCCTAATGAGGGGACAAGGAGAAGACCCCTGAAGACCTGCCTGCCTCTGCAGTTCTGCTGCTCAAAGCACTACAGGATGGAAGAGGTTTTGGGGTACAGCTGTCGGTGTGGTCCTCAGGCTTCTCCTGGCCATGTCCCAGGGCCAGGCCAAGCTCTCCCACAGAAATCACCCATAGGAAAGACAGTGCAGGCATAGACTCTGTGCATCTGATGGAGTGCAAGCAGATGAGCTTTAAAAGACATGGATTAGTCTCCATATGCACAAAAAACAACCCCAAAAACCAAAACCAGAAACCTGAAAACTTCAGTTTATTCCCACACTGGAAGTTTCTCAGCTATCATGGGAAAGAATGGTCAAGATCAGACTATCTCTATTTGGGATTTGATGTGAAGCCCCAGCTACACATACCTTTTGCTGCTATTTAAGAACTTTTAGGAAATATTAGAAAATCCTTTTATTTCTCGTTTATGTTTCATGTGTCCATACTAGCTAGTCAATAGGGTCTGTCCACCCATCCCTCTACACCAAAGTCAGGAGGTACACATACCAATTTATGCTCCACACCCCCATCGTGCTTCTCTAGGTACATCCACTGACTTGGCCAAATATTCTATTTAAACCAAACCAACTCTCACACCTGCTGCCATTTCCTTCACCAGCGTAACAGCCCTAAAAATTGTTGTTCTTTCTTTCGACTCAACAAACAGAGCATCACAATCTTCCCTGCACATGCAATGACTTAGAAGTGCCCAAGTCCTGCAGCTGCAGCCAGCTGGCTGGTACCATCTCCACTGCCCACCAGAGCTCTCCCTTGCCTTCTCAGCACATCAGTGTAAATGGTACTGCAGCACAGCTTATGGGATCCCTGGCTTCAGACAAGCCAACTTCAGATCACTGCCATCAGGGGACCTTCTCTCAACCTGAGGTTGGGACACAGCCTTCCATGGAAGTGTTCCTTAGCCCTCCTTAGCCCCAACCCCAAGCAAAAAAGGCTTCAGAAATGAGACCCACTGGACTTCCCTTGAGCGAGTCTTTGGCGAAGTGCTACAAGCCATGCACCACGCCTCAAAGCATCACAGCCAGGAAAAAATATCCAACACTTCATGCAAAGACGTGCTCCAGAATCTGAAGGTTTTTAAACATGATTAGCCTGATGACTGTGAAAGAGGCCTTGGTACCAATGTGCTCCCAGTGCCTGCTGTAGCTGCTGTGTCACTTACTGTACTCAGCTCTAGTGATGTCTGGTTTACATTTTATGGTTCAACATTTCACTGGTGCTCCTTTAAGCAGGAACAGGCTTACATCAAGGGCTTATTTCATATTCCAAACCACTTTCCTCAGAAGCTAAAACACCCTTCTGCTTCCTACTTGTTCTCGCAAGCCCCCTGCTTCTTCCTCACAACTGCTCTTACTGCAGCAAGGTGCTGGTAGCAGAGGGTGCCACAGCACACTAAGAAACATGAAAACAGAAGTGTGACATCAAGATGAGTAATTCCAGGCTGCGTTAGTCACACACTGGTTAATTACATCTGCCTTTTAAGTGCTTGAGGGTACAACTGTGTCTCAGCATGCAGAGACCTTGTCCCGGAGCTCAGGCTAATGCAGCAGGACCCTGCTCTGGACCTGGGATGCATGTAGCCAGCTGCAGGCACACTCCACTACACTGCCTATGGAGAAAAGCAGCACAGCACTGGGCCTGAGCAGAACCTGGCCTGCCCCAGCTGAGTACAGAACAAGCAGTCTTTGATGCTCTTGCCTGATAATTAGTGCTGCCTTGGATTCACACTGCTTGCAGAGCTATGGAAGAAAAGCAGCCAGAGCCCTTGCTGGCCCTTCTGGTGGCTCTCCTGGTATTCGCACCCCAGTCTTGTGCCAAACATTCTGAACTTGTTCTGGGACCTATGAGCAGCCTGCACTTGCTGCCTTGAGATCCGTCCTCCAGCTCACCCTCCCTGCCTGTCACCCATGGCCTGCTTGTGCTGGCAGCTCCCTGCAGAGGTGCCAGTCACAGTTTTCTCCTCCAGCAGTGAGCAGCAGCACAGAAAGCCAGCCCACCCAATGGCCTCCATGCAGCGGCACTCAGACGGCTCCGGCAGGCCTGAGTTTTGGATAGCATCTTTCTGCCCTGATTTGCTAGGCCATCTTCCTTGCCTCAGAACAGGACAAATATCCAAACGAAACAACTTCCTGTTTTCCCCAAAGGCCACAAATTACTGCATTACTCATCTTACCTTGTAACCCACCAGTGCTAGAGGCCATCGTGATCCAAATAAGAAAGGCACTGTAAACTCTGACTCTGTATTGATTAAAATGCCATTTCTGAGAAGTAATGCAAAAAGGAAAAAGAACAGACGATCTTACATCCATTCAGATGCTGGGCAGACCAAGTTGTGCAACATCAGATGGATCTCCACCGAGCCAGGGCACAGTGTGCTGTGCAGATCCTGCTCATGGGATGGCTTCTTTGGCACTGCTCAGCTCAAGAGTTCCAACAAATGGCCTGTTAATCAGGACTTAGAGTCTGAGTGCCTGCGTTATTGGGATCACAACAGACCAGCACTTGTGTATTACACAGCTCCAGCTCCTTCAGGACACCTCAGTCTTTCCTGTGCTTCCATCTCCCTGAAAACAGCAGCACACTCGCTGCTTCTGGAGGCACAATGCTCGAGCACGACCTGCAGATCAATCCACAGCTGGCAGCTCCCCTCCACCCACAGGCACTGGGCAACACTTATACTAATGACCCAAATCCATTTTAGGAGACTGTCTTGCTGAACTTCAAGGCAGCTTCTGCAGAACTGCACAGGAACTAGACTTTCCAGTCCTTTTGCAGTATTTTATCCAGGTATCTCACTTCCCTCAAGCATTTCAGGCTTATTACACATGCTTTCTGACAGCTACCTCAGATTCTTCCATGTGCCCAGCACTACTCTAGTACCCATCTTTATCCACCCCCAGCACATCGTTCTGCCTTTGGATGGCTCCATTTTCCACAAGGGAGGGTTACTGTCTCCACAGCAGCTTTGTTTAGCATCAGCCAGATCACCAAGGTGAGCGAGGTAATGTAATATGCTGGATTTCCATCACAGGACAAAGCTATTTAATATCTAGACCAACCAATCCTCCTCCACAACAGCAAGTAGTATGAAAAGGTCACACCAAAGTCAGACTCTAGCAATACCATACATCAGCATAAAACTCCTTGTCTTGCCCTAGCTAGGATCCCCATTTCCTGGGAGATGACAGAAGGCAGCGCTGCGGATGGGGCAAGCGCACACACCCAGCTGTCTGTCTGCTCAGCACTCTAAGCCTTGCCTCAGCAGTCTCCTGAGACTCTGAAGTCCACCAGTTACCAAGCTGCTGCCCAGGGAGCACACATACCGTCTTTGTATGTCAGGCTGCTGGCAAACTTTTTGCCATGGCTGCGGGCGTAGTCCTGGAGGTTGGGGGCACTGGAGGAGCCTCCCAGCACAGTTGTGCTAAACAGGCCGGTGCATTGCGACCCTGGAAAGGCATGGAAGGTGTTAGTATTGTGTCTCCACTGCATGCAGCTACAGAAAAGCAGGGTTAGTCAAAGGAGGAGGAACGAACGGGCCGGTTCACAGGCGGTCTCTGGGGCAGAAAAGACATTATGCCCGGGAGCACAGCGAGGCTGTACTCCCCATTCTAAATTCAGTAGTCTCCAATGCGCAACAGGTAGCCAAAAACTAAACACCAGGAAAGTTCCTAACTCTGTCCAGGGGTTTATTTCCACTTGGCTTTCTCGCCTGGACCAGAAGAAACACCTTGACACCCTGCAGTCAGGAAATCTAGCCACTCGGGTCACAAAAGCCAGGCTGCCAAATCACTGATGTCCAAGTCTCAGGGCTCCATTTCTCTGCTCTTCTGCCCTCACTCCTTGGAAAGTTCCATCTTCTGTAGGGCACCAAGAAGAAGAAAGGACTGACTGATCTTATTGATCAGTAAATGTGAATTAATCCCTCTGTCCAGCAGTAAGGAAAGGAATGTGACCAGAGAGCTTTCTTTCACAAGCTGCTGTGCAGATGATATTTCACATCCTCTTGGTCATGTCTTGCCCTCCAGAGAAGGGCCAACTGCTCTATGAACTACCATGCCAAGCACCAGATGCACACACAGCATGGACCTTTGCTTATCCTATGGCTAGGAACATGGTGTGCAAGATGGTCTTGTGCATAGGAGAGCAACCTAATACTGGTGGCTTTGGCAACTGCTGGTGTTTGCTTCTCCAAGGCACAGTGTTCTGTAGAGTGACAACTTTATGTGATATTTAGGGAACATCAGGCATTTGAAACAGGATTCTTTCAGTTGAGGAAATCAATTGTAAGACAAGACCTCACACTATAGGCCAGACAAAGCCACTGATTGGCTATAAATTCTCTGCTAAGCCATCTTGATGCTGCATTCTGTACCGAGAATATCAACTGCTAAAAACATTACTCCCACCTACAAAAGGCTTACAGAAACAAGCAGTTTGATCTTGTTCCACCTTGTCTGCCAAGATAAAAAAAACATAACATACCACCTATTAGTCTTCAACTGGAATAGTGCAACTGTTACTACTGCTAAAAAGATCCTGCCTATATTGCAAGCAGCTCTAGATTCTAAAATACAGCATTGTAGCATGATTTAGGTTGGAAGGAACCTCTGGAGGCTTTTTTCCCCCAACACCCCAGCAGGGCCAGCATGGGTCAGTTTGCTAGGGTTTATTCAGGAAAGCTTTGATTACCTCCAAGGAGACTCCACAACCTCCCTGGGCCTCACATCTGGCACGCTCACGGTGAGAACTTTGTTCCTCCTAGCTCATTTGAACTTCCCACGCTGCAACTTGTGTCTCTTGATTCTCATGCTATGAGCACAGGCCTTAGAGGACAGTCTGTCTCTGTAGCCTCCCATTTAGGTGGCTGGATAGCATGAGGATCTCCACTCCCAACAGCTTCTGATCTGAATAAGCCCTGCTCTCTCAGCTTGTCCTCCAGGTCATGCACTCCAGCCCTCATCCACCCCCCCCTCCCCGTACTGGGCTCACACTGCTACCCCCAGCCCCTACTGGCACCGGGGAACTGGGGCAGGGCAGCAGCACTTCAGAGAGTCCCACAGGAGCTGAGCAGAGGGGGAGCACCAGAGCCCTCAGCCTGGCCGCTGGCTCCTGCTGCTCCAGGCCTGCATGCTGCTGGCTGCCTTTGGTGTGAGGACACACCGCTGTCTCCTGCCCCCGTGCTGCTCTCCAGGACCTCAGCTCTTCCTCTGCAAAGCTACTTCTTAGTCAGGGCTTCTCTGGCGAAAACACAAATCCTATGTTTTGAGCTACTCACATGTGAGCTCGGTCTGGGCTGATGACATCTGCTCCTGGGAACAGTGAGGGGTGTTCACCCCAAATCGAAGCTGTTCCACCACTGTGGCACTGCTGGTAGCTTCCCACAGGACAGACTAGCACATACATGGCCTTGGACAAAGCAGCAAAGAACTCTCACTTGCAGGGCAACTGATGCACAAGTCTTTGAAAGTTTCCTCCTCCTGCCTTAAATTGAAGTTGAGCACTGACTCAGCAGTAACTGGAATCTCTCAGAATGCAAACAAAATTTTGTCAAGCAGCAGCCAAGAAGATGCTCCTCATCATCCTTTCATAGCTCAAAAACAAATAAGCAAGCAAACAACAAAAAAAGCCAACAGACTCATTTACTGGCAAATAAAACTAGAACAGAAGATTTTTATGACTTTCTGTCATGAGCAACCTCATGCCACTAATCATCAGGGTAAGGACCCCCAGTGTCTGTGCCATCCCACAGCAGAGAGGCACCCCTCAGTCAGAAGAGAATTACAGAGATGACTCTACAGGTGATAGCAGTTGTCTGCAGTAAAATCTAGATGACTGCAGCCAAAGCAAACACACACACACGTGCATCCTAAAGAACACAATGGTGTACTAGTCACTTGGGCTTAAGATGCAGCAACATTTGCTAGAAATTACTGTATGTGCTGGATCTTTTTTGTGTATGTAATTTTTAGATGTACATTCAACATTTCAGATGTTGAAAAAACGGACATCCCTTATTTCCCTCTGGAAGTCTCCACAAAGCTTCATGCCCACTGGCAATACAACACCTTATTGCTCAAGCAGGAAGGAGTGATTTCACCCTGTTTTGAAGTGTTCTTGCAAGCAAAGAAAGACAACGAAATTTCCCCGGGCTTCTCAGGCTAGAAGCACACAGACTGCCACAGGCAGCTCACAGTCATGCACTTGCTCCTGGTGAGGAGAACGTGGCAAACTCCACAACACCACTCTGCACAGACAAAGCGAGCTGCAGCCCACCCCTTTCCCAAACAGACAGCTCAAGGCATTCTTTGAATTACAGGGAAGACACAAATCTGGCAGGTATGGCAGCATAGTTATTTTAGGAGCTCTGTCCTGCTCCCTGTCCCTGCATGCCCAACACAGGAGGTTATACCTGAACAGACGTCCTCCCAGAGATAATGATGGCTAACCACTGACAAAGTCAGGCAACAGGAGATAGGCTCTGCTTCAGAAAAAGCTCAGAAAGAGCAGGTAGCATCTAAATTAATCCCTTCATAGCACAGCTGCTGAGACAAGTATTAAAGGCAAAGCTCTGCCCCCTCTGAGTTCCATATTATTTCTCACAGAAAGAGCACTTTTCAGATCCTAAAGGGGGAAAAAATTAGATTTCTACAAGCCAAGCAGGAAAGGAATCAGGAAGATTCCTCAAAGAGCTAGACTTTTGCATGAAAAGGCATCATTCTTAACAGCTCTCAGGTTAAGAGAAATTTGGACATCCTATTAACTAAGGACTGTGCGAGCTGATGTTGCACCACAGGTCTCTCCTGCTCAATCCTCCTGTGCCTGCAGCTGCAAGACTCTACAGAGAAGAGAGATGGCTGGATTGAGTAACTCAGTAGAGGTCTCACAGTTGAGAGAGTGACCAGCACTAGCTTCCCAGCAAGGCAAGTCAGGCAAGAACCTGAAATTAAACCTGCTGAGATTACATTTCAAATTTTGTTGTCACGGAAAAATAGCAGTGGTCTTCTCTGTTGCCAAAACAAACATTCCTCTGCCAGGCTGTAGTAAATGGGCTGTAACATCTGCTTTTCAGATCATAAGCCTTCTAGTACTCAGACATCCAAACAGTAATGACAGTTTGCACACAGCATTTGCTGTGTTCAGTAGTTCTCCAAGCAGAACCTCTTGTGCCCCCTCAGAAACTCCGGTATCGATTCACACGGACTCACAGGATAACCACAGGTTTCTTCAAGCCTAAGCAGGGCAGTCTGTTACAGCTTACCTAACCCTGCAGGTGGTCTGTGAAAGGCAGGAGTAGATGCACCACATGAAACAGCACGTTCAGAAATCACACCAGCCAAGGCTGCTGTGCCCTTCTGATGCATATTACTCTGAAAATAATACACAGCAGCCATTCCTTCTTAGATTTTTCCAGCTGGCTGGAAATAACTGGCAGACTCCAGAGACACTTCCAAACCACTCCGAAGAAAATTCCCTTGATTTGGTGAGAATTAGCTTCCAAAGAAGCAGCTCTTTCAAAAGTGACAAAGAAATTATCAGGTCTTTCAGAAATCTCTTGGTTGCAGGATGTCCACATAACAGCATAAAGAACTGATGAGTCAGAACTCCTGCAAGTCTATGGCCGTGCCATAATGCAAAAATGGTTTTAGAGAAAAAAGAAAGTGGGCTTAACTTGGGCAATTCCACCTCCTGGTGCTTATTATTTGTCTGCAAGATCAAGGTTTCACAGCTATCTTTGAACCTCATGAGAGCAAAGACAGCTTTTCAGTTTCCAAATAGATCTTGCTATAGCAAAAATATTTCAGGATTAATTTCAACTGTTAAGATACAGTTTAGGTTAGGATGATGGAACAGAAGTTTCAAGGACAAACAGAGAACACTAAGGGCCCCAAAATATTCTCTTCTGCTGGCTACCATGAAAAAAATGACTAACCAGAGATTCCAGCTCAGTTAGAGAGCTGTCAAACACTGTTGCAGATGACAGATCTGTTCCATACAAGAGATCTTCATGAAGCAAAGGTAGAAACAGAATAGTCTTACATGAAGAGCAGCTTTGCATGTAAATTACTGTTCTGCAGGACAGAAAGCATGCTAGCTTCCATGTAAAATCATCTCTTCCTACTAAGTTCAGAAATGGTATGGCAAATGATAACAGCACGGAACCAGAAGGCCAACCTGCAAGTACACAGCTTGTTCTGTTGCTCCCATACTGTAAAGGAAGAAAAGTGCATCTTCTGTTGCTAGAAGCTGAAGGAGAAGATCACAGATCATACACGAAAGGAAATAAAATAAGATAGTCTCTACAGTGGTCTAAACACTAACAGAAGACACAATACACACAGAAAAACACATGAGGAACTTAAGCCAGATGTGTATGTGGAGAGACAGATGGATGCTCTCAGAAACAGAGGCACAGGTGAGCAGGCTGGCTACAGGTC